CTTTCCATTAGTAATAATAGGGGAGACAGAAGGTAACCAGATGGTGTTTAGATATTGAATGGAAGACAGAACGGACCCACTAATGTATACTTTTAACATTTTTAAAGCTTTATTTCTAAATGATGACCAAGTTATTAAAATCTACAGAAATAGACAAAGAAAACGTATTGAGTAAAATATTCAAGGGCTATATGAAAGCAGCAGTCTGGTTACAGAAAGGAGTTTAAATGAAGTTTTATATTTCTAAACCTAAACCTTTTCACTATATTCTTTTAAATTTTAGAAAAAGGCTTTCACTGAAGACTAAAAAGAAAAAAAAGAATTGAAAAAGAAGAAAAAAAGAAAAGGTAAGCATTCTATTTCCTATTTTTTGCTTAATTCACTTCTGCTTATAATCGTGTATCTTTCAGTTTTCATCTACTTCAGTATCAAATTCTTTATTCTCTTTTTGCCTTCTTCCCTTCTTAAAACCTATTTCTGGCATAATATTGCCTCCCATTCACTTGATTAATTCATAAATTCATACAGGAAACAGGAGAAAATCCACAATTAGAGAGGCAAAAGTCTCAGGACGCAGTGGTTCATATTCTTATGTCTAGGCCATAATCTCTATAGTGTAGATATAGAAGAAAACACTACTCTTCCTTTCAGTAGACAAGGCAACAAAATTTGCTGATTTCACACTACCTGTGATTTTCTCCTAGGTTGATACAGCTGCCTTACTATTTGCCATTCCTCTATTTCACTTAAACTTAGCTTATCAGTTCTCCAAGACCACAAACATACAAATAAGTCACTGCATGGAAAAGCCACATATTCTTCAAGAGCATTCAAGACTGATTTCAGGTAATTTCCAAACAGTGTATAAATCAGAAGTGTCCACCTGGGGAAAAATTTAGACCAAAAAGAATAAATTTGACTCATTGCTTTTACTTTACACAATATGCTTTAAAAGACAAAGGAGAAAAGGAAGACATTTCTATCAACTGTGTGAGTTTTCCCAATTCCCAGAGTAAACCAACAATACATTGGAATGCTTCGTAATATCCACAAGGCAACCCGAAAGGCAAGCAAAGCACCATGCCACAGCAGAGGGCTCACAGACTTGGATGCACCAACATAAACTTCTGTGAAAATTTTCATCACATCTCTGTTGAGATTGTTACTACTGCAAGGACTAGAGACTGAGCTTCTTATTACAGCTGCTGAGCACTAGACATCTCATTGAATGTCTAACGAAAAAGAAAACATAAAAATTTCAAACCAAGTAATCAAAATGTGGCTGAAAATCAACCTAAAGACAATTAAATAACTAATGGCATTTGTATTAACTAAATATTCCTACCACCATAAAAAGTCACTCTTAAAATCCTTAGAAGAAAGAAGTATCTAGACGTCACTCTAATCATGATTTACTATGGTAAACAACAAACATCTAAAAATAAAGAGCAAATTGGTCCTCAGAATTGGAAGTCTAATTAGTAACACTAAATTGACAAACATGTCTACAACTCTACTTGTCTTTGTTTTATTTACTTTTTTAAAAATTCGTTTAGGGCAAAACAATAGTGTCAGAGTTGTACACTTACATTCCAAACTTGTATTAAGGGGTAGGACAAGAAATAATTAAACAGCCTCCAAATACTTACATTTGTTAAGCTTTTAAACTTGTGGCAAACTAACTATATCCCTTCAGGGCTAAACTGCTGCAAACATTATTCAGAAAAGTCTTTTCTTTTCTTCAGAAACAATTAGAAAAGAAAATGTGTTCTACATTGCATAAAGCTGTTTTACAGGGTGTTTGGGGACAGTTACTCATCTCAATTCCAACTAAATAAATAAATATTTACTTCTCAACTTCCAAAATTAGCCTAAATACCATACCTGCATCAGATAATTTCTATCCATAGCAAGAGCAGTGTTAGTGTACTGAAAACTAGGTCAAGTTGACAAAATCAAGATATCAGTTTCAAAGCTTAAGTTTTCAACTTTTTTTCACTCTTTTACGCAAGATATTAAAAATAACTACAAGCATCAAACTCCTCTCACTGAGACCCAGCATGTCACTTCTTCAGCTTTCCAGTACTTTCCAGCATCAATTTGCTGGTTTAGCTACAAAAGTAGCCTCCAAAGAGAAAATTATTAATAAAGTACTGTTACAAAAAACTAAAATTATCGACAAGTAATTGCCTCAAGTTTTCTATTACTGTTTCTAATTACTTTGTAAGTGCCACAGGAAACAATAAACTGACTGAAGAAAATCACAACTGAAGGTCAAGAGATCCTTTTTATGGAACGCTTGTCACAAAATGATTGTTTTTAACCTTTTATACCAGCTTCTGTTGATTAAACTGGCTGTGAAATGGTATAATTTCTTCAGAGTAACACTTGGAACCTAATCTACACAAGTGTAAAAATATTGGGTATTACATCCAGAGCAAGGTTTAGTCCATATTCTTGGTATCTTTTTCACTTTAGACAGTAATGCAAAGCTCAGTTGAGAATTCCTGAAGTAGGCTGCAAACTTTACTTGGTAACAACAAGCTCTCAGGAGCTTTTCATCCTTTTCTTCCACAGCACTGCACAGTACTGATGTCTCCCAGATATGACTGAGAGAACTTCATCATAACTTTAAAATGAACATAAATATCTTTCACAAGTACCTTCTCCCTTCTGCAGGTAGAAGTCTGGCTGAAATTCTCTTGATCCAGCACACCAAACCACAAAACAAGACCATTTGTTTCTGTAACCCACTCCCTTATAATTGCCACCACTCTTCCGAAATTTCAGATACAGATGAAAATGTTTCATCAAGCACTTTTCATCGAGGCCTTAAAAGGAGTTAAAAGAAGTTAAAAGAAGTTAAAGACTTGCATGCAGAAGGCTTAACTTATCAACGATCTAATAAACAATAACAATTATAGCAATTCAAATAAAATGAAACACTGTATATTATCTATGCTCAAGGAACCTCGGGCAATGCTCTTACTCACACAGTTTAGCTTTAGGTAGTCCTGTGAGGAGCAGGGAATTGGACTCAATGATCTTTATGGATAACTTAAAACTTGAGATATTCCATGATTCTGTGCTATATGCTGTTAGTTTTTATTACATTAAATACAAAGCATGATTTCAAGCTGTTATCTTTCATTCTATATGAGCCATTCACAAGAACCCAGGGCTGCTGACATGCATGCACAAAAGAAGCCCAGTCCAGCTATCCAGCCAGCTGACTGAAGTTTTCCAGTATTAACCTATTACTGCCTTTACGCCCAAACGTGCTATTTACAGTCTGCTTTAACAAAATACTGCTCTAACAGGTTTCCTACAACTCTTTTCATTTTCTTCATTCCTATTCCAGTTATCTCATTCCATAGGCAAGAGGTACCTAGACCCATCCTATAGTGACACCCGAATGACAGTTCCAGAGCAGAAACAGTGCAGAACCTCCTTTTAAGTAAAAACCTAACACAGTGCTCTTTAAAACAATTAACTTTATTACTTTCATACTGCATGAACTCTTAAAAAAAATATCTGTTCATTCATGTATTGCTACTGAATACTGTTCAAGACACCTACAGCAGTCTAGAAAAGAAGACTTCAACTGGTATGTAATAATTCATATATACTTCTTCCTTAAAAATATAAGAGAGGTTTTCCTAAACCTGCCGAGGAACAGCAACTTCAGATGTTTGCAGGCCCCTAAATTAGATTGCACCCAAATAGTTCAAATCCACAGCGTAAAACATATCACTCTACAAACATTTCAGACTATTGAGTAATTGTTCCAGGCTTTCCCTGCCATAATAAACAACAAAGTCCTTCTACCTTGACAAATTAATGAGAGGCAAGAGAAGCCCCTGGAGGAAAGTGCTGCTTTGTGATGCCCCACGTTTCTGGATGCTTGTTTTCCTTCTGTACCAGATAGACATTTCAGGCTCTGAGTAATACTGGATTACCACTTCGGGGAGAAACAAGGGACTTATTTCCTGTCATGTTATCCATAAAGCATAGCACAAGTCCAGTCATTTGGGAATGCATATTAGGTTCTTGGTATGGATTTTTTTTTCCAGACACATAATGACTTTCTAAATTTGCACATCATACCATTTAAGTGCAAAGGAAAACTATTACCTTGCTACATTAGGTCATTTAACCTAAATGGGAGTAGGAAATGTCAAGCTCTTAAAAAAACTTAAAAGACTACATCTCCTGCTACACTTACTGTTTTTCCCCATCCTGTTGCACTGCCTTTTTTATTTTATGATAGGGTTTTAGTTTCCCATTTTTTTTAATTTACATCAACCAGATAAAACTGCTTTTGAAAATTAATAAAGTTCTACCTAAATTTATAGAAAAACAGTCAAAGAACGAAGAACTAAAGACCCTACAATCTGATTGTTTAGCTATGGAAAAATAATACCGACGATATAGTAATCTTATGAGAAAACCTTTAATCCATCTCCAAAAGAGGACACTCACAATGAAAAATGTAATTACATTCACTTCTGACAAATAAAACTGTTCTTAAAAAAGAATCAGAACAACACTGGGCCACAGAACCAACAAACATAAACAAACAAACAAAAAACCCCACAACAAAACATACCCAAAACACAAGAATGAGCTTGTAACACCAACACGTGAAGTTTAAGAACACAAGCCTTTAAAGCCTAAGTTTGCAGCTGCATCTTTTGTTTCCTGCCCTCGCAGTGCTCGCATCTACACTGGATGCCTCAGCACTTCACCGTTCTGAACCCGGCTATCAGGGGCAGCATCAGGACACCGCCTGAGGTTCAGCAAAGTGATACAGGTCGACGAGACAAATTGGCAGTAACTAGAAATCAAAGCGACGCGTCGTGACAAATCCAACACAGCACGGCTAGCCACAACTTTCAGCTTAGCCCCTCCACTACGCCCAGACACACAGCCGTGCATCGCGGCCCCCCCCAGTTCCGCGGCTCCCAGCGCTCCGGCCGCCCAGCGACTCGCGAACTTACTGCAGTGCGATGCGGGCGGAGGGAACGCTCGGCCCTGGGATGCGAGGGAGCCCGGCGCCCTGGGCAGCCGCGGGACCGGCCATCCAGCCGGGGCCCCGCCAGCCACGGCGGCGACACCGCCGCCAGCCCCCCCGCCCCGCCCCGCAGCGCCGCCGGCTGCCGCAGCCCAGCGCGCCCGGCCCGGCCCCGCGGGGTCACCGCCGCCCTCGGCCCCGCTGCTCGCCGCCCTCCGCGGCACAGCGCGGAGCCGGCAGCCGCCCTCCGCTCGGCAACGGGCAGGCGCCTCCGGGCGGCGCGGTTTTAAGCGGCGGTGCGCCAGCACATCTCCCACCCCCTTCCCGGCCGGGCGGGCGGCAGGGGGGAGGGGAGAAGCGACACACACACACACACACACACACACACACACACACACACACACACACGCACACAAACACACGCTCTCACACAACACACGCTCTCACACACACAGAGACAGCCCCTCCGCAGCCCCTGCCGCCCCCGCGCAGCTGCCGTACCTGTTGTCCAGCGCCCGCATCCCCCGGGCGCCGCCCGCCCACTCCGCGCCCGCTCCGCGCTGGGGCGCCGGTGCGGCAGGACCCGCGCCGCGCTCCGCCAAGCTCCGCTACCCCTGCTCCACCCGCTGCCCCGCGCCGAGACGCGCTAAGCCCGCGCAACACTTACCCAAAGTTTACAGGGTCTCCCTGCCGGTGGCGACCGCGCAGGGCTGCCGGTCGCCCTCCGGGCTGCCCGCTGCGAGGGAGCGGGGCTGTGGCAGCGGGCGCACCCGCGCAGCCGCGGGGCGCGGAGGGGCCGAGCGCGGCCCGCCCCGCGCGTACCTGCCCGGCCGGCGCTGCCGGGAGGAGGTGGCGGCCGCGGAGCGGCTCCCACGCAGGTGCGCGGGCACCGCGCCGCCGAGTCCGCGGCTCAAGGAGCGGGAAGAGGCTGCGCCCTCCCTGCCACGGCACCGACCGGTCCTCTGTAGCCGCTGTCCCCCGGCAAGGCCGGCCCAGTGCCCGGCTCGGCGCCCGGCAGCCGCTTCAGCAGCAGCCCGCCGTGCCCGGCTCGCCAGCCTCCATCCGGCCGAGGCACCTTCGCGAACCTCGCTCGGCGCAGCGCTGCCCTGGGCGCCCGCTTTCCTCCAGCACCTGCTTCGGAACCTCTCCGAGGGTAGCAACAACCCAGCTAGGGCCTGTAAGAATTTGCAGATTTACTTAAAAAGAAAAAAAGAGGGACCAGAGTAGCAATGGCATGGAAATTAATGTCTTTGTGCCAGTGCCTACCATTTAGCAAGACACAGAACTAGGGAGCTGATCAAACTTTCGCTAACAGGTTCCCCAGGGTGTTTAATGAGAGATTTCTATGCAGTACCAACTTCCATCTTCACCAAGTCTTGAGTGGTCAGATAAGCCTCAGAACTTCAGCTGAGAACCTGACTTTATGTTTAATTATAATGGCATTAATTTCTGTTTATATTTACTTTCTTGATATATGGCACTAAAATACTAGCTTTGAAAGATGATTTAGGCAATGTAGATGAGATTTAGCATATCGCTAATAATTTTATATAATAAATCCATTGAAGTTTGAAAATAAAAAACGTTTACCAGCATTTTTTGTTTGTTGTGTAAATGTATCCATTCTTCTTTTCCAAACTGTGCACTTAAAGGGTTTAATTTTCATAAGACACAAGTGCTAGAAATTCTTGGAATCCTCTTTATTTTAGGAACCATGCAAACCCATGCCAGCCTGATTTTGTTTATAGAGGTTTCTTAAAGGAGACTTCCTTAATTCACCTAGTGCACTCAATGTGGTTTTCTCAGCATAAATGGTACCTGATCTCTATAAATTAGCTTCTCCACAACACCATAAAAGACATTTAAGTATTTTGAATTAGCACATTTCCAAAACTCATTGACGTTCCAACTTTTTGTTTAACAATAGACTTTGAAAATTTAGATGAGCTTCCCGTGTACAAGTAAAATGCAATTTTATATTATATAATGCAATAACTACATATTTATACCATATACTCAGTGATACAAAGGCATTCATAATTAAAATTTCATTTTTATATAGTTTTGTTTATCTTAAATTAACTCAGATTGTATTCTAAATAATCTATTCAATTCTCTTCATATTCTCACAAAACTAAAAGAAACAACAACTTCTCTGTAACTCTGGAAAAATATGTTCTCATATGCACATCATACACATTATAGCATCCTACACATTAGCCTTTAAATTCACATCCAGTAGTCACCTTTATAAATACCTTTCCAAATGCCAGCTTCATAGTAGCACATGCCAAGTACTTGCCTTTAGTTCCCCTTGTCTAATCTATTGCTTTCCCTTTAAAACACTGATTTCAAGAGATTCTTTTTCTCCCAGTGAAGGAATTCAGTCCCAGTATATTTGAGCCTCAAGTTACTAAATATGGATCAAAACAGTGAAATACAGTGAGTAGTTACTTAATTGTGATAAATCATTCCAGTACAACACAAAATTTTTATAGGCCTTACAATAAAGTGTTTTATATCATAGTATTTGGCAGAGGGCTGGTTTTGAATCACCATATTGCCTTAAAAATTGCTTTGAAGCACTCTCAGTTACACATGGTCATATAAAAAATAAAAATTGCTGCAAAAAATACGATCACAATTAAAAATACATTTTTTTTATGTTGTGCAGAACTTCCATATATTCACTTAACTTAGGACTTAGGCCTTTACTGTTCTCTTCTGCTGTGTGTTAGAACAGGGTCCAGCTTCAGTTCCTGTTGAAATGGAAAAGGTCCCACAAGTTCATTTACAGTTTGGAATGACAACTCCATTGACACTAGCTTTAAAACTAGCTTTAAAACTCCAAAGAAAAATTTACCCCTTCATTAAACATTTCATTTGCCTTAAGAAACCAACAACCCTCACACAGGTAAAAGCCAACTCAGTACAGCTGAGCTGTGAAAGATCAATGTAAAAGATGTCAAAGCGAAGGACTCTAACATTAAGATTCTTTTTTCCACTGGAAAATACTTAGGAGATTGTTATCCACATGACTAGTTTTAGAAACACTGATGTATTATGTGCTGTTTTGAGAATAGGTAGAGGATGGGGATCGATGGATTATGGCTTATGGCTAAGAGCTTCCTCAGCACAGAGCTCAGTGGCAGCATTTGTGCATAAGCATCTTTGTTCTGGTTTCAACACAAAGCTCCATCATCCTGTTCCAGAAGCAGGATGCTACCCAAACTGTATATGCTCCTGTCCTCCCCTCCTTTAATCAAGCTCCTACCATAAGCAGATTAAAATATGCAAAGAGTTTGTCTGTTAACAGCTCACTCCCTCACCACAAAGAAAATAACAGATGTCTAGAAGCCACAGCCAGAATTTTAAATACTAAATTTATTATACTATATACTTAGATATGGTGTTTGGATATTTAAATGAATTTTGTTGCTAAGCATGACTTTAAGTTGCTCATTTATGATGAACTTGGAGCCCTACATTTTTACATGATTCATGAAAGAAAAAAGCACCTAACTCAAGAATCCTAACAGAAAAATAATTCTCGGTTTCCAAGATGTTTTATTTGCTTTTAATGTATTGCAACAATACCAATCATCTGCAGTTCTATTAGTATTTTTGAAAGAAGCAGGGTTCAGGCTTACAAATCTGACTTCAAAGGTGGCATTACTTTACAATGTCACAGGTACAAACTGTGACTACTAGACTACTATTGAAAAGTAATCTGACTCCATGTGAAATCAGCTGAGGTAACAGCAAGCTATATATAAACAACTTTTTCTGAGTATGTGTTATTAAGAAACAAATGTAGTTCACCAAATTTGCCAAAGAAAAGAAATAGTCTTCTCAATATTTGATTCATCTACTTTAGAACTTTTTTACACTACATGAAGAGCTTTGTGGAGAAAATGGAATTAAGTGGAAAAAACAAAACCTTTCTTCATAGTAATTCTGTACTTCATGTGTTTTCATCAGAAAATGTCAGCATAGAATAGACTACACTGCTCCATCCTAGAAACAGCAAATTCACAAGCAATCAGTACTAGGGATCCAAAGGAATCAAACTATTTTGTCAGAAACAAGACCTTCCATAGATTATGCTGATATAATTTTACATTAATTATTGTAGTGATAACAATACACCATAGAATAGTACGTATAGTCCACTTGATCCATATACTTATTTACAAAGTAATATACTTATTTACACAGTTGGGATGGGAAAAATTCTTGTGAAATACCCAAAATACCCAGAGGCATTTGTAGGTCTACTATCAATCACATAAATATATATATTTATATATATATGTGTGTGTGTGTGTGTGTGTGTGTGTGTGTGTATAAATTCTAGGGTAGCTAAAAGAAAGTATGCCACAGAGCATACCTTTGTACTTGAGAAAACCAAGGACTGTTGACAAACTAAAGGAAATTACATTAATCTGCTGAACTATTTTTCTGGGCTTGTTATCCGGTATACCAGATACTCTTACAGAATCTTTAGCTATTCTTTCATTAATGTAATTAAGATTTAAGACTGAAAGCATTTAAATTCAGACCTGTTGAATTAACACTGGCACACAAGATTATTTGCTTGATCCAAGTGCTACAGATCAGTCAGTCTTCCTTCTGCCCTGGGAGAATCCTAGGCTGACTCCTCTTGGAATACATTCTGAGTCATATGAAGGACAGCAGGATGCGTGGGAACAATCTACATGAATTTTCTAAGGGTAAATCTAGCCTGATCAATTTGACTGTCCTCTGTGATTGACTGACTTGAGAGAAAAATGCAAGTATCAGTGGATGGTACTTATCTTGACTTTTGCAAGGCTTCCTATGCTTATTCCCACAACATTCTCCTGCCCAAGCTGGGACATAACAGACTGGATTGGTGGTGGTATAAAACCAGTTGGACAGTTGGGCTGAGAGGGTAGTGGTTAATGGGCTGTACTCTATCTAATTGCCAATAGGAAGTGTCATTACCCACGAATATATCTTTACATCTTTAAGGATAAAGGATATGTCCTTACATCTTTATCAGTG